CAAACCCACAGCTAATATTTTACTGAATGTTATAAAAAATGAAAGCTTTTCCACTTAGAACTAGAACCAGACAAGGTTGTCATCTGTCACCATTACTATTCATAGTGCTTGAAGTTCTAGCCAATACAATTAGGCAAGAGAAGGAAGTAAAGAGCAACCAAATGGGGGGCAGAGGAGGTCAAACTCTCCCTCTTTGCTGACAATATACTTAGAAAATCCCAAAGACTTAACCACAGGACTCCTGAAAGTCATCAAAAAATACAGTTGTTGTGACCCATCAGGCTCCTAAGGCCCTGCCTGGTCTCCATCCCGGCAAGAAGGAACCAGGCAAGAGGCAGATTAGAAGTACAAGCTTGTGGGAGACGGGCTAGCCCTTACTTGCAGGGTAGCCCCTGAGCAGTCTCTGCACTAGTCTTTTATTGAAACAGAACAGTACAGGTGAGGGGAGTAATTAACAATGACTATGTGCTGAAGGCTTGGGCTTTTTCTCCATTAGGAGCTCCTGTAGACGAGTTTCCCAAGAGTCCACCCCTTACCTGTAAATCATCTTGCAAGAGTCCACCCCTTTACCTGTAAATCATCTTGCTCAGAGCTCATCTGACTCTTGGCGTCCTCTACATACAGTAATGTCTCAGGATATAAAATCAATGTCCACAAGTCAGTAGCCTTTGTATACACCAATAACAGCCAAGATGAGAGGCTAATTAAAGACACAACTCCCTTCACCATAGCTTCAAAGAAAATGAAATACCTAGGAATATACCTAACAAAAGAGGTGAAGGACCTCTATAAAGAAAATTATGAAACCCTAAAAAAGAGGATATTAACAAATGGAAAAACATACTATGCTCATGGGTGGGAAGCATCAACATTATTAAAATGTCTATACTTCCCAAAGCAATCTACAAATTCAATGCCATCCCTATATTAAAATACCAACATCATACTTTCAAGTTGTTGAGAAGTTCTGTAAATGTATGTTAAGTCTGTTGGGTCTAAAGTTCAATGTAAGTCCAATCTTTCTTTGTTGTTCTCTGACTCAGTGATCTGTCTAGTGCTGTATCAGGGGCATTAAAATCCTGAATTATTATGGTATTGCTGTCTATCTCTTTAGGTCTAGCAATAAATGTTTTGTGAATCTGGGTGCTCTGATATTAGATCCATATATATTTAGGATCATTGAATCTTCTTGCTAAATTGATCCTTCTATCATTATATCATGACCTTCTTTGTCCTTTTTAATGTTTTTTATTTGAAATCTGTTTTATCTGGTACACTTATAAATAGTTACTCCTTCTCATTTCTAGTTTATATTTCCATGGAACATTCTTTTCACAACTTTGCTTTTAGCCTTTATGTATCTTTATGGGTAAGGTGCACTTCCTACAAGCAGCATATAGTTGAGTTCTTTTTTTTTTTTAATCTATTCTTCTCATTGATATCTTTTAAGTGGAACATTTAATCCATTTATATTCATGGCTAATATTGATATGTGAAGCTTTGTTCTTGTCATATTGTTAAATGATTTCTAGTTGTCTTATAATTCTTTGTTTCTTTTTAATTATCTTTGTAGTTTTATGTACTTCTTTCATGTACTTCTATCATTGCTTTGTTGTACCTTTCAGTTTTATATTTTCATGTATTTTGGTGATGATGAATATCGATTTTTCATTTCTATGTTTAAAAAACCTTTGGGCATTTTATGTAGGGCTAATGTAGCATTGATGAATTCTCTCAGAATTTGCTTGTCTGTAAATGACCTTTTTTCTCATTCATCTATAAAGCTTATTCTGTCAGGTTATAAAATTCTTGGCTGATAGTTTTGTTTTGTTTTGTTTTAACACTTTGAAAATGGTATCCCATTTTCTTCTGGGGTTGCTAATGAGAAGTCCAGGGTTTCCTTTATGATTGACTAGACATTTTTCTCTTGCTAATTATAAAATTCTTTCATTTTGACTTTAGTTATTCAGATTGTAATATGCCATGGTGAAGTCCTTTCTGTAATGTATTTGCCTGGAGATCATTGGGCCTCCTGTATTTGATTGTCTAACTTACTAATTCTTAGAAGTTTTCATTATTTCCTTAAATAGGTTTTCTAAACTTTTAAATCTCTCTTCCCCTTTGGGAATACCAATTATTCATAAGTCTGGTTGCTTTTTGTAGTCCCAGATGTCTCAAAGACTTTGCTCATTCTTTTTCAGTCTTTTCTCCTTATTTTTGCCAGACTGAATTATTTTAAAAGATCTGTCTTCAAGTTATAAGATTCTTTATTCTGTTTGATCTGGTCTATTCTTAAAGTTTCCAAATAACATTTTGTATTTCCATAAATAAATTATTCAGCTCTAGAATTTCTGGGTTGTTTTGGTTTTTTTTTTTTAATGATATCTTTCTCCTTGGTAAATTTCTCATTTATATCCTAGATCAGTTTTCTGATTTTTTTTTATCTGTCATTACAGGGAATTATTTTTAATTGGGATTAGTTGGTGAAGAATTATTGTGATCTTTTGGTGATGTCATATTTCTTTGCTTTTTCACATTTTCTATGTCTTTATGTTGATATTTGTGCATCAGCAGTTGCTTGTTCCTATTTTTTTTAAGTTGTCTTTCTTGGGGAATATTTATTCTCAAAGATGTATATAGATTGTTGAGTAAGACACTTTGGCTTTGATTTTGGGTACCTGCAGTATTGTGATCTTTATATGATATTTTAGGCAGTACACACATAGTCAGTGGTAACTGTGATTTCCTTGGTGGCTGAGGGAACAGTTATTAGTTGAAGCTATGATGAAGTTTTTCTAGATCTTAAATGCCAACCAAACCACTCTTTGGGCCCTGGTTGTGAAAGGAGTGGGCTGAGTATGCCTGATTTTAAACCCCAGAGCACCTTAACTTGGCAGCGGTGTTAGTATAGCCTAGTTCTTGGGCTTTCAGGTGGCTTGCTCAGAAGCTAGTAGCTGGAGCATAAGACCAAGTAAATGGGCAGATTCTCAGTCCCCTGAACCACAGGTATGATGTGGGTGGTGGAGGTTGGAAAGCCAACCACTAGAACTCAAGTGTTCCATCTTGGTGTTACTGGTAGCTGCAATAATTTGGGCAGACTAGTCTCCAATCTCACAGCTTCCTATAAAAGGACAATGGGTATTACCCTAAATGTGCTTAGGAGATCTTGGTCCCTTCCCCACTAGGTGGTGACTATAGCCATATCACCTTGAACTCAGCCCAAGGACTGGAAGCAGCCCAGTGTTAAATTTTCAAAATGGCACCAGCTGTTGGCTTGCAGTCAAAGAGGACAGGATTCCTTGTAGGCAAATGACGTGGGTAAGAAACCATGGGAATTACAGTCTGCTTGCATCTCAGTCTCACAGGAGCCCCTACCAGGACAGTGAGAATTGTTTTATGTGCATGTAGGAGAACATGGCCTCCTCCATCCCTCAGCTGAGCAGAGCTGCAGTTGCGTCAGCCCTGACTTAGCCTGAGAACAATGTGTGGCCCAACTTTTAACTCCCAAACTGGAACTTTGGACCTGTTACCAAAGAAAGTGGGTCCCTTCCAGGCAAAGAACATGGGCAGGATGCTGGATGAAGTGCCATCCACTCATGTCTTGGATTTACTATAGTTTATGGCAGGGTGATGAGAATGTAAGAGAGCTTGGGCTCTTCTGTCCTTCTTCAGCTAGGTGGAGCTATAGCCACATCAGCCTAAACACATCCCAAGGGCAGTGTCCTGCCTGGTTTTAAATTCCTAGAATGGTACCTGGGGCCTGTGACCAGAGGGTGAGGCCCTTCTCTGTCAGGTTGTGCTGGCAAGAAACTGTGGGGAGTGCAAGACTTTGTTCAAGTCTTAGTCCCACAGCATCTGGCTGCAGAACGATGGGCACCATGATACATGAGAGATGAAAAGCCTGGTTTCCCTACCTATCCCCAAATCAGGTAGATGCTGCAGCCATATTAGCTCAAATTCAGCCTGAGGGCAGGGTGTACCAGTGTCAAATTCTCAAAATGGAAGCTTGGACCTGCATTTGAAAATGCAGCATGGACAAGAAACTGTGGAAAATGCTGTCCACTCACATCTCAGTCTCAACAGAAGCCTGCAACAGGGCAGCAGGGACCTTCCCAAGGGAGCATGGGAATGCCTGGATTTCTCTGTCTCTCCTTGGAGCCATTCAATGGCTGCAAGTGTACCTGCAGTTCCATGTATCTAGGCTCTCAGTATAGGACCTGGATCAATCTGCTATATGTTCATGTACCTGTGGAATTCCTTGTGAGTTCCCTTTCTAGAGCAATGTCTCTGTGCAGTTCTCCAAGCCGCTTTCTATGTTAGGTTTGAGACCTGTGTGGGTCAGGGGGTAGGTCCTCTTGCAACTAAGACCATAAAGGCTCATCTCAAAGAGTAGAGCCCTTGGGGCCTCTCTCTTACATTTCCTCACATCCAGGAGCTTCTCCCAAATCTCCTTACCCACTTTTAATCATTCCAATCCCTAATCTGGTGAATCCTAGAATTATTTTCTGGATAATCTGTTTGAAATATGAGAATCTGCATGCTATGTGTCAAAAGCTTTAATATATGAAGTTAATTTTTATTTTCCTTTCTTTAGAAAGAGAATTTATTTAAAGGCTAATAATTTTATTTGAAAAAAGTATCTGCAGCTAGTGACATTTGTTGACCTATCTCTCCCTTGAGTAGCAGAAAGATTTTGTGTAATTCTTCTGTAAAAACATAAGAGCAAGTTAAAGAGCAGACTGGGTAATCTACCTATATGCTAAAACTGCTGATAAAATGTGATTGTAGTTCATTCCTATTTTTTTTTTTTCAGCAAATGATTTTGCCTATGATACAAAGTCAGTCTATCCAATGTAAAGGCAAGGCATCCTTTCTAAACTTTATGCAAATCACTAACGAACCTTCCCAACCTTTTCCAATAATCTGGTTTTTATTTAAATTAAAAATAATTATGCTTGTTATGATATATTCTAGTTGCATCATATTTTTTTCTCTCTCAGACTTGCATTTGGGAACTGCAATGGGTTGGTTGTGGTGGATTTCATACAGAAGACAGTACTGCTAAGCATGGGGACCATTGACCTATATAAATCAAGTGACCTATACCAACGACAACCACGGTCTCCTCGAAAAAACAAGCAGTTCATCACAGGTAGGAAATAAAACAAGATGAGTTATGAACCTGAGTCCATCTTTTTTCTTACTTTTAGGTTCTTGTCTTTCTTCTGTTATGCTACTCAAATGCATGGCAAAATAAACTCACTATAATTTACAATACCATGTTAAGAAATATGAATTGAGCAGAAACATAGTGAGAATCTTTGAAAGAAAAAGGGGGTGCTTAAACTCCAATTTCCTATTGCAGTTAGGAAGCATCTCAAGTTTCTTAAGTTGAATTCCCAAGAACTTATTTTATTAACAGAAAATAAGAAGCTATTAAATGTAAAAATTACTATGAAAATTAGGGCGAGTAGAAAAAGCTAGCAAAGCTAGAAAAGCTTTTTCTAATAGAAAAAGCTGTTTGCAGTGGTTGTTTTAAATGGGTTAACTTTCTTCTAAAATATCTGATTTCATTAGAAAGACAAGTTTAAGTCATTCACTACTTAATTCTGTATCATAACTGTCACCTTTCTTTGTTGATGACTTTCCTGGAGTTAATTTCACAATGCAATAAACATTAATCATTAAAATTTTTTAAATGTTATAAAAGATACCATTTTTTCTTGGCAGGACCAATAAATTGATTTATTTAACTATTAAAGAAGATAAACCAGGGTTAATAAAGATATAATGTCAAAACATATATGCCAAATTATCTAAAATTTTACTGAAATTTTATTATATATCGAAATAGTTGGCTTTGTACACACTGCCAAAATTTTGTGTACTTTTTGTCCACTGACAATAGTTTAGCTGATAAAAAAATTAGGCAAAAGGTTTGCAGAGGGAGATGCTGCTATAGTATTGTGTTATTTTATTAATAGATAATTCTTTAAACTTTTTTGCTCTGTTTTATTTGAAATAACCTAGTGAATATTAAAGTCTTTATTACATACACCTCTGAGAAGTATTTATAATAAAAAATAAAAAAGATACATAATGGTAGTGCTATTTCAGTAATAGCACATGTGTCAAATTTAACATCTGAATGAATTTCCCTTTTAAACTAATAAAACTCAATATATTTAAATGCTCCTTTATTAAGCTTTATTTGTAAAATTAAAGTATTTCCAAATTGCTAGTTTAGACCCTTTTCAGGAGCACAAAATTTATTCATTGGATCCTGAGACTTTTTGGTTAAGGATCTCAACTTTTATCAATATTTTAGGAGAGCTAGAAATTTCAAATTCTGTACATTCTCCCTCTATCACTCCTGGCTAGAATTAGAGAAAATTATGTACACATATACCATAAGATTGCCTTATGGTTGGAAAAGAGAAAGTTGAAGTTCAGGAACTCAGGGAAGTAGATATTAGGCACTGAATCTACAATACAGAAAGCTGTGAAATCAAAAAAGCTGTGAATTCTATGACAGCATCTAAGTTTCTTGCTGGATATACACAGTGGAATAGAAAAAAATGTATATTTTGACAAATTCAATACAATTGTTAATTTAAATTCATTGAAACTTAGCAATTATTAAAGACTTTAAAATGAAGAATTTTAGTGACTTTAAAATTAAGAAAAACTTTGATAAAGTAAACTTGGTTTGTATTTAGTGTACAAAATGATTGAGTACTCACTTTATATTACAAAAAATAATATTAAAGACTAAAATCCCTAGCTTTCTTTTTAACTACAGATGGATTAAAGATAATCATTTTTACATTAATGAGGTAATGTATATACATATTACTTAATAAGCCAAATAAGTTTGCTTTGTAAAAATAAATAAGAAAAATATATAATCTGCTTTTATAAGACATTTGATTAAATAAAATTGCTACAGTAATTGCATTCTCATCATTCATCTACCACCTTTTACTTTTTAATTAATTTATTTTTTATATCTCTTCTCTAATTTGATTACCTAACCTTGCTGCAATTTCTTCATCTTGGCTGTTCTAGATTCTGGTATGATATCACTTCCTTTCACTTTAGAATATTTTTCTCTTTCCCCTGCCTGCTGCTGATGCTGGTGTTCTGGCATGTTCCAAAGACAACTTTTGCATGCGTGGCCTGTCTAACTTTTATCCTGATTTAACGAAACGGATCCGTACTTCCTATCAGAGTAAGTTCTATAAAGGTTAGACAAATAGCATTTTTAAGTCATAATGCTTGAGTTGAATCCATACATCAGTGTTCAGTAATGTGTTTTTTTAAAACACATTCAACATGCATGCAAATTTTTGTTTTGTTATGGAAATGCAACCTGATAATCTCAATAAAAATTATTTTACAAATATTTTAATTCATTACTGTCATGTACCCATTCAGTCATACCTATCATATCAGTGTTTATTTCAAACCATGCATACCATGTCCTAATAGTCCAAGAGTAGCTACTTTTGTTTGAGGAGAAAGAGCCATGGTGTCCTTGTAAATAATAAACCTGATATGCCAGATTGATAGTAACTCAATGCTTTCTTATTTTGGAAGACATGTGGTTTGGGCAATTTTATAACATTATTCTAAACAGGGCCATAATTTTTGCTTCTTTTAAGTAATTGTATTTCTTGGAGATAACTAAATATTCCTAATTTCTGATGCTTTTTGTTAGAATAGAATACAAAAACACTTTTCTATAGTGATTTTAGGTACCAAACACTGTGAAAGAGGATAATTATGGTATTATGGTCAAAAATAAAAGAGTTAATAAGATTAACATTTAACATGGTATAAAATGCATATCTGAAGATGACTAGAGTAAGCAATTCTAAAAACTGGTGCAGAAAGGATGGGGAATGAGAGTGTATGTGCATAGAAATGATACTAGTAATGCTATGGGTAAATATATATGTGAAAAAGTTTGTAATATGTTAAATAATATATCATGCAAAAAGTTGCTTAAAAACATATGAAGATGAGCTTATATTTGTATAAATTACATATATATGCATATATACACACACTCACACATGTATGTTGTTTGTAACCTGAATTTCTTCAGACTTTACCAGCTCATAGATACTAATGGAATTTTACCAGTTATAAAACTTGAAATTTTGCTACTAGCTTGTGCCCCTAGTTTAAGGAAGTCAGTCCTTGTGAAATCCTCAGCATTTTCCTGGAAGTACCCAGAAGGTCATTTAAGTTTGACTCATGGTTATTCACTAGTTTTCTACACTAGTAGAGTACCCCCTTTGATGTGCTTCCCATTGTCTTTGTTCCTGGTGCCTTGCATGAGAACACTGTTGTCTTCTACTGCTCCTGAACCAGAAACTTACAAGATCCTATGATTTTTTTTTTATTTCTGAAAATTATATGAAAATTTCAATTTCTATAATAAAGTTTTATTAGAACACAGTTATATCCTGTCCAGGGCTTCTCTCACACTGCAATGGCAGAGTTTAATAGTTGCAACAGAAACCATATGGCCCACAAGCCTAGACTATTTACTGTCTTGTTCTTTATATAAAATGTTTGCTGGCCCCTGCCCTATACCATTCTTTCACACCCATTCCCTATACTACCTAAGGGATTTCAAGCAAAAACCTTTCCGTATGTAGTCTCCAGATGGTCATATTCAGACTTTGGAATCTGTTTAGCCTTCTGAAGGTGAAATTCCTCTCTACATGGTATGTGTGTGTGTGCCTACCAGATAGAAGTAGAAAAGTTCTGTGGGCAAGACCGCAACCCATCCCCTATGGTCAGTGCCACTCCAGGAGGCCAAGTGGAAGTTGCGCTGGCCCACAGACTACTCAGGCTAGAGATGTGTGGTGTCATGGCCGCCGACAATGAAAGCTGTCTTGGCGCAGCTTTAGCTCTAGCAACTTCCAATGGTGGTGTTAGCTACTAGCAAAAGCACAAAATCTGGGGAGGACCTAGCAGTTCATGTTCTCATGATGGAAGCACAAAGCAACAACTTCAAGGAGTGTGGCCATCCCTCCTGCTCGCCCTAAAGGCAGCTAACTTCATGACTATGGACACGGAGCTAAGTGGGCTTAAGGACTGGAAGAGTTTGCTGAACCAGTACATAGAGGAACATTACAAGACTGTGTGTTATACTGTAAGAATCTGTTCCATCCTCTCCCTGAGTCTTGCCTGCTTCAAGCAGCAGCTAGACAAGGAGAAACATTCCTACCTGGTTTGGGTATTCAGTCTCACCTGTTGTGCATGGAGGAGTATGTCATAAAACCAAAGTCTCTACAGTTCCTGTTAGAGCATAGGTTTCAACTTCAAACAGCAGTATGTCCAGGGTATCCCCTACCATCAAGGCAATGACAAGGGTGTTGAGAATGAGAGCCTGTCACTACAGACACTGTCCCTGAAGCTGATCTAGGCCCTCTTGCCCCTAGTGCTACACATGGACTTATGTGACTTGGTGTTCCTATACTAGAACTTCTATGCACACCTCCCATATAGTCTGGGAATCTTCACCGCTGACATGTGTGAGATGTTCCCACCAGGCATTTATGACACCAAATATGATGCTGAGTTTCATGTTTGCTTTGTAGCCTCCTACTTGGAATATGTGTTCCAGAAATGTGAACAGGAAAATGGGAAGCAGCAGGCAGCTGGCTATCCACACCTTATCTTGGAGTTCTGCAGCTATCCTTCTAGCATGAAGGCTCATATTGACTTCCACTGACACATGGCTCTCGCAGAGCATTGCCCTCAATCCCCAATGTCTGTGACAACTTCTTGGCCTATAGTTGGTGCCCTCTGGGACCACAGTGTCCTCAGTCCATGATATTTATTGACCTTATTAACACTGATGAGGCTGTGCTGGAGGATAAGTGGTGACTGCGATGGCATGGGGGGAAATGGAGGAAGGCTTTGTTGAGCCTGCATGGGACAGACCTCTGAAGAAGCTAAGGATGGTCTTCCCAACAAGTAGGTCTGTGGGGACAGCCTCAAGAGCAGGAAGTGGCTGAGGATGAAACCAGGAACTTGCCTTGCTCTGAGCCAGGACACAAAAATGACATGGAGCTGGGGCTTAAGATAGTAGTGTCTGAAGAAGCTGACATAGCTACTTCAGAAGTTCAGGGAGTTAATATAGTGCTAACCCAGTGCCTGGGGATGGATTGCATCAGGGTGGCTTTGATGCCTTTATGACAGATTATGTGATGGCCTATGTGGGAGTGAAGTAGGAACCTCAGCCCTACAGCTCTGGACCCTGGCTCCCTGAACGCCACAACAAGGTTTATCTGAGTGGCAAAACTATACCCTTCACAGTGGCTAAGAGCCAATCCTCCTGTTCCTCCAAAGCCTACAACCAGAAGATGAAACTGGCTTGGGGCAGCAATGGACCCAACTTCTACCTAGCAGTTGGGGCCTGGGAACATTAGCTAAGGGTAGAACAGAGGTATTTGTGTCTGTAGCTTGTAAATGTCATATTCTCAACTACTGCTCAGTTTGGGGAAAGGGGAGAAGGAGTGGTTCTGGTGGAGATACTGCTGCATTGACATGGACATTCTCTTTACCCCAGAGGCTAAGGTACAAGGTGCAAGGAGGTTGACCAGCACCTGTAAGGCCAACTTTATTTTTAAATGCAAAGGTATCTTGGGAAAGTTTTATAAAAAATATCAACAGAAACAAATTAGGAAAAAAATGTAGAAAAGTTCTGGAATATGATATTGTGAATTTTTCAGATTTCTTTTAGTTTTACTGTATTTTCCTATTATTTATATAATAAACATACAATGCTTTCATGGTAAAAAGAGAAATTAAGGACTGAGGATAGAGAATAGAAATAGGCTCTTCATAAGAATTGTGCAGTACTAACTATGATATAACATTTAAAGAAGTTCTAAGAAATGCTCAATAGTAGATTTCCTTGTATTCGTTATATTTCCTTCATAATAAAAAAAATCAAAGCAGGTTCCTAGTTTTATCCTCAAAAATCAAATAATTATTTGATTTTTTATTATGAAAGATCCTCTAATTCCTATCGATATCTTCAAATGGATTTTTTATTATTCTACAAAAACACTTCCCTTAAGCCACAGTTTTATATCTTGCTACCTTTATGATTTACTTGTATCATTTCTCTGCAAATGCCCTACTTAAATTTTTCTTCATAATACCTACTAAATTTCACTTCCCTGTTACCATCAGAGCCCTCCTGTGCCATTTTATTTATTTAAATGCCTACAGGCTTACACATAGTAGTATCTGAACAGTTTAGTAGGCACTTACCCTAGATTACATACTAATTATTGTTATGCTTATGACTTATGTGGGCACATGACTAGAATCTGAAGACTATATCTAAAATTCTTTATATCCTCTAAACCCATACAAGTCTTAAGATCAGAAATGAATGGTGATGATAGGAAGATAGAACATGGCAGCAGGCTCTTTCTCACATGAAGAGCCAGAAGACTTTTCAGATATGAGAAATGAGAGAAAAACTAGCTTCTGTAGTTGCTAGCTTCACTAGAATTCTGCAAAATAATCATAGTTTCTTTTAGCCAGAGACATAAAGTGTCATATTGGAAGTAAAGTCAAGTCCTCAGAAGAACTTAAAGAGATCTTCTATGTCTCTGCCAGCTGGCTCCATGGGTGCTCAGACAAGCCCTGGGATTTAGTATCAGATATCCTAAAGTCTGCTCTTGGTGATCAATACCATGTGTTTGTGAAAAGGAACTTATTACTTAATGACTCAAAGGTATATCCTTCAATTTGCCTTTAAAAATAAATTTTAGGATAGTTTGGCTTGAAATTTAACTATTGAATAATACAATCTGGTTATATTTCTATGGTCTCCTTTTATTATAACAGAGATTATGAAGCCTTTTCATACATTATTTCCTAACTTTTACAAAGTGTATCTTTCTTGTATATATTTGGGGAGATAGAAGCCAGTTCCTTTCAGTGTCTGGAATTATGGTAGGCAATTTCACTTAGTGTTATTTTATTTAATGGTCATTTTAACCCTTATGGAGCATGTGAATATTTATTAGTAGCTTTATTTACACATAAAAAATTAAGTTTGAAAGAAATGAAATTAGTCTTTCAAAGTAACAGAGAATAAGTGGGAACCAAACTCATGTCCTGTAATAAAGTGATTCTGTGTGCTTTTCACTGTATGATCTTATGCCTCTAAGTGCCTTTTAAAGTTTCAGG